AGGAGATTTGGTGCTAATTCACGGAATTGTCTATACTAAGTAAAAACTAAAACAAAGTGTATTTTAATGACTTAAGAATTCTGTGCCTACATGACAAGCACCTTCTCTTATAAGTCAAGGACAGCTCTTTTGTTAACCTTTCTTTGTATTGATTTAGTAAAAATAGGCAGTAATACTTATAATATGCCATTATAATTTGTATGCACTGTGAGGGTTATGTTGTCATGTTGTCTATAGCAGACAACAGAATCTCATGCATTTTTAACTACAAATTAGTATTTCTGTGATCACTGAAACATTTCAGAGTCGGTAACAGTGTTAAGTCTGAGTTTCCTGTACCACCGTCATCATATCTATAAATGCAGACGTTTCCTTGCAGAACTCTCAAGAATCATGGTTCTCAGTCACTTTTATTTTTGTATTGGCCATAGGTTTACTTCAGCAACTGTTACCCACAAAAATCCTTCATGTTAGATAGTTTGATGCCTACACTACTATGATAAAAGGTAAAAATTAATTGTAAATACCAAAAAGTAGTTAATGTTGTTGGCCTGTTCTTGGTCAACATGTTTCTAGGGAACGTACCTTTGCTTATGTGCATTCAGTGTTACAGAGGGTATCAGAGATAAGGGTACAATTGAGTGCAAAATCAGGATGCTTCTAGAAATGTACAGATTTGAGATGGAGACAATGGAAATGTGCTTACAGTATTTAGATATTGCAAGAGCATGAAAGGTAATGTTTTTTTGCTAATGCCAAAAAAAAGTTTAAAGACCACAATATCAGCTCCAACTTGATTGAGACTGCAAAACCACTATTAGATTCTTTTGCTGAAAATGTCAGCTTTCTGCACTCTGAATAGTATCAAGCAGTCCACCCAGTTAGGTTTTTCTCTGCAGTGAAGGGAATTTGATTATACTGGAGGTGGAATTATGGCTCTAATAGTTACCACTCATTTCTTAAAGCACAGCTATGTAACTGAACCCAACATTTCAATGAAATGTATAGACATATTTTTTAAACACACCATGCACAAGTTTTCCTTCCAAATTTTTAGGTTCAATGTTAATTTTGCCTTCCTTCTAATAAAACAAGCACTGATATTTCATTTTCCTGCCCTTACTATTTATTGAAGCCTATAGACATCATTATTCCTTTGGGTTTCTCTCTCACATCTGTGCAAGTGTACAGCTATTGTCACAGTAGGGGTTGGGTCTGCTCTTACAGAAATAATGAAAAGCTCCCCCCAGGGGAGTTTTTGCTTTGTCATGACTGGTTATGGGAGCTCACCTATATGCTCTGGGGTAGCCAAAAAGCAGCTGCATTCTGAGCACATAATCAAAAAGTTACAAATGAGACTGAAATATTTTTCAGGCCATTTGGGTACCTCTTCAATAGAGTTTTCCCCCTTTTCTCCACAGACTTGGGCATTGCAGGCTTGCTATTTGTTTTATTATTACAGGTTTACTGTTCAAAGACAATATAACTTGGGAAAGAATAGGGATCACGTTATTTTTAACGCACGGACAAATATACCTTAAAACTTCATCATGCTAACCTAGCCCTTATAAGAGTTACACAAACAAAAATGACCTGTGTAAAACTATGTATTACTTGTTGAAAGAATCTGGAACTAACAGAACGTCACAAATAACATTCTGTATCATATAGGTCATGGTGAGATATTTATTACTGAAATCAATGAGAAGTAAATGAAATCTGTCAATAAATGTTTTAATTAAATATTAAATGTAAAAGTTAACTAAATTTTTTTAACACTTCTCTTCTGCATGAAATGCATCTAAAAATAGTGCCCATTTTCATTCTTTCAAATTGAAATACGTTCTTGGACCAGTATAAAAACTGATATCAGGATGCGGCCTCAGGAGTCTGATCTACAAGCTTCTGATTAAGTTCTTTCTAGACATCTGACAGGGATAATTTTGAATTTGGGAAGTACTGAAGATACTAAATTCCCTTTTTTTTTTTTCTTTCCCTTCCTCCCCCTCTTAAACTTCTAACATTCTAAGCATTTGTAAAATTTTTTTTTGTCATTCTAATGAGAATCCGTGAATACAGCTGTTGTTCATCTTTTATTTTAAAGAAAAGATTTTTCAGTTGCTAGGGTCTTTTTTCATTTTTTATTTTAAAAAAAAGATTTTTCAGTTTCTAGGGTCTTTTTTTTTTTTTTTTTGTACTACAGTCGGCACAACAAACATTATGGTTTTACATACACTTGTAAATATGCCCAGTGCGAACTGGCAGGTCACCTTTTGTGAAAGGTTTGCTATAAACAAAATACCAAAATAAACCCAAACAAACCAGGGAATAAAATGTAGGCTAATGTGGAAGTCATATTAAGTATTCTTGGCAAATTGCAATGTATGCAGCAACCACTGCACGTTATTCAGACCTGCTCATCGGGACACTGAACAAGCCTGCTGTACAGGTGCTAGATTTTGATTTAATAAATAGTCTGTACAGTATCAAACTATATAAAAAGTTTAAAAACCACAGTGAGAATTATTATATTTTAAAAATTTTTCTATATTGTAAAAATTTTAAAATTGGGTCCAAACTACCATTTTAAAAAAGGTATGAAATGTGCAGTTTTGCAAGTGGAAACAAGGGGCACGAGAAAGCTTCTATAAGGGTTAGTAAGAATTGCTTTGTGATTTCTCTTTATCTTCATATATCTGGCAATCACACAGACCTTAGAGCAGTTCTCTTCAGGCAACTAGGACATGAGCTAAAAGTATCATCACTGATTTCAGTAGGGAAGATTGGCTGCGATAAGGAGTAAAAGGCTTATCTTAGGAGACAAATGTACAGTACAGTCTATTTATGTAAATACTTGGAAAATGGAGGAACAAAATTATTTTTGAACTACAGAGCTGTGAAATCAGTGAGCCATATGGATCTATAATATATATGGCAAAATAGCTTAAAACCCTAAACCTTCTTGAAAGAAAACTGTTGTAAGTCTGCATCTAGAATAACCTAAGTACTTAACTGTGTTTTAACCAAAAGCTGCAAAGATTACATATTTCCAAATGTACTAAAATTAATATAACTCAGTATCTTTAAAAGGCAGTAACCCTTTACACTTATTTCTCAGAAAGCATAGAGTGAGGAACCGATAATTAAAGGCAATATAAATTGTAGGCAAGATGAAACAGATGGCTGTAACGTAATTCTTGAGTCTTAACTGGCACTTAACACTAACTCTACTTCCAATTTGTTAAATACAATAAGACACCTATGTTGACATACACGTGGTGCACTTAACTACTTTTATTTATGTAACTGAGGTATTAAAATTGTCTTGAAAACCAGACATCTAAAGAAGAGAAAATGATATGAGTAGTCGTTGTTTTCAGTGATCAATGATTAGTAGTTGTTGCTTTTTTTTCTTCCAATATCCTTAGCTTATAATTTCCATGAATAGTGTCTTACTCCTCCACTAGATAGGTAGCTTCGGAAGATGGGAGGAAGTCCATCATTTTTCAGCAAGAATTAGTTATGAAGACTTTGTTTTTTTTTAAATGAAGTATAATAAGCTAAAAATGTGTGCATCTCACACACTGCATATAGTACACTTGTAATATATACACTGTCATTATACACAAGCATCTTGTATGTACACTGATACCACCTTCAATAGCAAATTAGAAGTCAATAGATAGTGAACCTTGTGCTGTATCTTCTCTTCCTCTAACATAGATTTCACATGGAATCTCCTCCATCACCCTGTCTTCTATGACTTGCTCAGGGCAGTCATGCGTTTGTTTGAAAGTGTAACTACTTTTCTTGAATGTGCTATTAAATGTTTTCATTGGCTGAGGCTGCGCAAAATCATTGCGAAAGGGAAGTTCCACGGAGCTGAGGTTTGTCCTGCTTTGTTTTATATTAGAGGCCTGGGAGCCACAGTGGTGGTCATGAATGCACCTGGAAGCTGCTGAAGGGCGTCTCATTTTCTGATAGTTTTCAAGTTCTTCTGATAAATCCGCCAAATCTGCAGAAATTTCTTTGTCCCTTAGTGAAAACAGTTCATAATGTGGAGGATCAAATACTTCCTGGAAACCAGTTTTATTGAAAGCAGTCTTGCAAGCCATAACCTTTTTGCGAGGTTGCTTTACTTGCACTAGAATTGAAATGATGAGAAGAACTAAAACTATCCCTGATGTGATGCCAATGATTGTTCCATGAGTCTTGGTGATTTGTTCAAACAATCCATTTTTTTTCTTTTCTGTAAAGTAAAAATTAGGATTATGATAAGGCTTTTATTATTTTCCACACTCTGATCATGTATTAAAACAAAGTAATCTGCATTGTGATTGCCATATAAGTGCTGTATTAATTAAATGACTTAATGGCACTGGAGACTAGCCCTGCATGTCAGCGGGATTTATATACTGGATCTGTGCGTTTGTTCATCAAGTCTCATTCCCAGTCTGCATCAGTGGCTACCATATGATAATTCAGTGCCAGGTGGAACACTGTGGCCAGTGCATGCCGACTCAGCTGCGATGTGGCTTCAATCCTGAACCTATACTGATCAGTTCATACTCCAAAAGCCACAAGTTAAACAGGAGTTTAGACAGCTACAGATGAGATGCTTCTCTTACCATAGTTTCGTCCTGCTGGTAACGTTCCCATTGATGTCAGCTAAAGCAAACTTAGATTTAAAATTATGCATTGGTTCTTTAAAAGTGAAATATTATCATAGTGATGTCAGGTTGACTGTACTGTTTGTTTCCACACCTTTTGAAAACTTAATGACTGCGTCTATTGTGTAAGTCTGTTACTTGTATTCCAGTTTTAACCATCCACTAATCAAGTCAGTTGGAAAAAAGAAAGGGGAGGGAGGCAAGGGGGAACCAACCAACCCAAATTATATGGCACTTTTGGCTAGTACTTCATATGAAAACGCACAAGATGGCAGCATCAGAACAAGATGATTTTCCATACTTAAAATTCTTATTTGAAGATTAAAATTTTCCAGTTGGATTTCTGTTCTGTAAATGTACGTGTCCTAGGGGACTAAAAAGAATTCTACACTGAGACCCTGCAACATCTTAATGGGGGAGAAAAGCATTTAAGACTATGCAGAAGAAAATGTAGTAGCCTAAATATTGCATATTATTTTCCGATTTCTGGCTCCTGGCACCTGGATATGTGTGTTATGCATCTAAGTACTCCCCACACAGTGCATGGAGAGAGTTATATACCATCATATGCTATTTGAAACAATCTGTATACTAGAGAGAGTCCCGAGCAACTGGCTATCAAGAAGTTGTATCTGAAATACAGTTGTACTTCTTAGACTGTTTACTCTGAGTTACCTTCCTTCACATTAAAGGTATAAATGTATCTCCCCTTGTCCTGCCTAGATTAGACCTTAGTGTTACTATACTTTGTAGGAGGTACGAATTTCAGTGCTATGGCAGTTGTCTCATCTGCATCTAGGTTTCTTTATTATCAGAAGATATTCCAATCAAAAAGTTGTTATGCAAAAGGTGATGTCTTCTTCAGTCTATTAAAAGAAATTGCACACATCTGACTTTTCTATCATTTTTTCTGTCACTGGGCTTAGGCATAGGGTACGTCACAATATGCTCAGATTTAGGTAGCTCGATGTGAGCTAAAAGAGAAATTTGGATGCCTGCAGGAATTGAGCACAACTGGTGAGAAGCTTTTTTTTGAAGGCTAGGTATAGCTCATTTGATTGCATCAGTCTTCCTTCAGTCTACTTTAGCTGGGAATATGGATCCAGTCTTCAGCTGTCTCTTAATTATCTGCTGTGCAAGTATTAAAGCAGAATTTGGATTGTATTCCACATAAAACATGGTAGGTTATTCAGCACCAGATACAGCAATTTACAAGTATTGGGAAAGACGCTTTCTTCACATTGCGATACATTTTTTAAGGAATGCATTTTTTAAAATACTGCACTACGTGAGTGAACTGTGGATTCTAAGCAAGACTCTAGAAAGCAGTTAGTAGAGATGGGAAAGAGATCGAGAAATTGCACTTAAGAGGGGGAACACTGAGTATTATCAAAGCTAAGGATTGCTTAGAGGAAACTTATTTCTCTATTGAAAACTTGGGAGTTATGGATCAGTTTTGTTAACTGGAAAGCTTTCATAATATACCTTGCATCAGAGTATTTATTAGTGGTGTGAATTTTTTTGTTTACCCAAAAAAGCAATTTCAAAGTAGGGTTTTTTATGTTTATTTACTAAAACAAGTTTAAGCTGGATTTGTGTGTTGAAAAGCCATTTTATTTCAAGATTTTCTGTAGATAAGGTTTTGACCCTTCCTGCAGGGTCAATTCTCTTTGAAATGGAGTATGTATTTAAATCTTTCAGTAGTTTTGTGTTCTGGCCTATTTATGCCATTCTCTTTGTCTAAAAAAACCCAAGCTCAAGTTTGTGGTTTTATTGTTTTATTTTAGCCAGAAAAATTGTTAACCTTAAACTGGTTTTGTTCCAACTCTGAAAATTTAGTTATTGGTGAAGCACAGTTAGCAGAGTAACAAATTCCTCAAATCATGAGAATTTTTCCTACAAAACCTGATACTGAAACAAGCCTCTACTGTAGTTGTGATGGTTTAAACCATACTCCTCTACTCCATGTTCTAGAAGCCTCTACCCCATGTTCAAGAAGTAGTGATTTACATGTGCCTGTTTTCCATAAGCAATTACTTCTTGCTTCCTAACAATTCCTCCTTCCTCCCACCCATTCTCACACCATATGCAGCAGCTGCATTTCCTCTGAGATAGTCTGTGATTAACAACTTAAAACAAATGTTTTAGAATTGTATTTGAAGATTGTTGCTTCTATTTCAGCCCTGAGAAAGGCCTTTTTGTGTTTGAAGGCTTGTCTTTGTTCAGCTCTATTTTTTTCTGTCTAGTAAAAAGGTATTAACCTGTTCCTACAATCCTTGCTTCATTTAAAGTTTAGAAATGAATAGGGTGCAACCTGGCAAATACTAATTTCTGCTTCCTTTTAAGCCGACATCCTTTTAAAACAGAGAGTATATGCTGAAGAGCAAGAAACTTAATTATAAAGCAGTAAGATCAATATTCAGGATGCTTACATGTCTTCTGAGTTTAAATAAAAAATTTGTAACACCTTCCTGAGATTAGCAGAATAGCTGTCTTCAGCATATTTCCAGGCAAAAGACATTTCATGACTGCCTTGAAAGGCAAACTGACCAGCCTAGTTCATAAAGGCTACACTTTGCTCCATATTCACCTCTGCAGTGATTTTCATCCCAAGGGTATGCACAGTTTTGAATGCCATTGCAGACTAAAGAATTATTGATGCACATGTTGCTATGGCAGAAGTAAGTGTTGCCTGAGCAGGGAGCTGCAGGAGAGAAGAGAAAGAAAACATTAGGAATTTTCAGTAATTCACGCATTCCAATACAACTAGTAAATTCCTGTTATTTTTTTAACATGCATACTCATTCTTTATGTCTGTTTGAAACACAATCACTTTTCCTGCACATCACTAATTATCAGATGATTTACTGTCTCTTCGTGTGGTTGCTTTCAGGTGTATTATCAATGCTACCAAAAAAAACACCTGTCTTGCTCAAAATGGGTAGCACATAGACAGTCACACAACACAGATAATGGAAGAAGGCTTTAATACTTGTCTTTGAAAACTTAAAAATCACATGCTCACCATCAATTGTATACTTATTCAATCTGCTGTGCATCTGCTATGTAGATGGAATAGCTGGTTGTGAAGCAGTTCCTGAACATCTGCATTTTAGAGCCCATTAATATCTTAAGGCAAATCAGATTTCAGCTTGTGGAGGACTGTTTCAGGGATGCCTGCTTGTGAATCAAAGCTCTTAGATCCTCCTATTAGAGCTAATGCAGGGATTAAGAGAGAGTACAGTTTAGCTGTTTATCTATCTGCCTATATATAGTTTGAAAATAAATAAATTATCTAAAAGTTGCCCTAAAGATTTTATGTTTCTGTGAATGTTTGTTAGCTTCTTGACATTAGAAAAATATATTAAAAATAGTAGTAATTTTTTCTGGTTGTTGTATAATATACATATGGAATTATTTACGAATTCAGGGCACTGGACAAGAAATTTATTTTCCCTTTATCTCAGTAATGTGGTATTTTCAAGATTAGTGGAGTCAGTTATATATTAAATAGCAAAGATGTATGATAGACTACTACTTGGTTTTATAGCAAGAATTTATTCTTGAGCAGTCTGGATTCTCTGAAACATAATGCAAAACCCAAAGGGTACAGCAGAGGAGGGTGACTAGTCCTAAATACAGCGTTTCCCACTTAGTCCTACTGTTAGGCTTCAGAGTCTCAGTGACAAAAAGAGGAGTTAGGCCTAAGAGAAAAGAAAATTCAAACCTTTAATTCTGAATTTGCATTCCCTAAATCTAGTATGCATTGTCTTCCCATTTCTTACTCCATTGAATTTTGGTAAGCTATGCTTGTTGGTTTTAAGATTTTGCATTAGCTTCCTGTTATGCTTAACCCCTGGCAACCTGGCAAGAAGTTCCATGCAGGAAGCTTGTGCTTCAGTTGTAGTGCAAGTGCTGTAGTACTTTAATGTAATACAGAATGTGTTTAGAAAGTATTTTGGAAGAGTTTATCGCTGTAATTTCTGTGTTTAAATATGTCACAGTAACGATCACATCTATCTTCCTCACTCAACTGAGATGAGAATTTAATTGTTGGGAAAGTAGATTTAGTCTAAAGAACACTGTTTTAAAATAGGAGCAATGCTTAGGAAGGTACAGATCACACCCATTGTATCAGTTACGAATTAGATGACGTTAGGTGCAAGAAGGGTCAGGTGCCCTGGGAGGAATACAGACACAGTGAGTGTGCAGGGATGGGGCTGGGAAAACCAAAGCCCACCTGGAGCTGAATATGATGAGGGACACAAAATGCAACAAGAAGGGCTTCAAGTGTATCGGTAACAAAAGGAAGGCCAAGGAAAATATGGGCCTACTGCTGAATGGGACAGAGGGGAGCTTCCTTTGATGTCTGGGAAGGTGATAGAGCAAATAATCCTGGAAGCCGTTTCCAAACACATCAGGGACAAGAAGGTCACTGGGAGTAGTCAGCATGGATTTATGATGAGGAAATCATGCTTGACTAACCTGATTGCCTTCTAGGATGAAATTACTAGCTTAAAGCGCTGTCATTAGAGGCACAAAGTCCAGATGGAGGCCATCACTAGTGCTGTACCCCAGGGGTCAATAGTGAGGCCAACACTGTTTAACCTCTTCATTAATGACCTGGATGTTGGGACAGAGTGCACCCTCAGCAAGTTGCAGAAGATACAAAACTGGGAGGAGTGGCTGATAGACCGGAGAGTTGTGCTGCCATTTGAGACAGGCTGGAGAAATGGGTTGACAAGTACCTTACAAAGTTCAACAAAGGGAAACAAAGTCCTGCAGCTGTGGAGGAATAACTCCACTTATGTGTACAGGCTGAGGACCAGCCACCTGGAAAGCAGCTCTGTAGACAAACGCTTGGAAGTCCTCAAGGAGAAAAAGTGGAACATGAGGCAGCAACGCACCCCTGTAGCAAAAAAAAGCCATCAGCATCCTGAGCTGCATTAGGAAGAGCACTGCCACTAGGTCAGGGGAGGTGATTCTTCCCCTCTGCTCAGCACTGGTGAGACCACATCTGGAGTGCTATGCTCAGTGTTGGGGTCACCAGTACAAGAGATGTATGGGGGGATCCAGGGAAATGGCATGACGATAAGGACTAGCAGCATCTGACATGACTGGTTTGGGTTGCCCTGAGTGGTTGTGGAGTCTCCATCCTTGGAAATGTTCAGCAACTGACAGTATATGGTCCTGGAAAACTTGCACTCCTTGATGCTTTCAAACCAGAGAGACTTCCTAGTTAAGTTTCTACATCAATAACCTTTTTTCAAGAATGTTTTATGCCCACTTTGTTTCAAGGGCCAAACCATTTTTCAGTGGGGCATGATTCAGTGAGACATAAGTTCAACCATGCAATTACCTGGTAAATGGAGGAATTAAATCATTTTCCTACACTCAGACTTAACTATGTCTTTAACTGTTTCAACAACTGCTACCGTTTAGGAAAAAAAATATAAAGGAACATGGTTGGTGTGTTGTCAATGTGCCAAACTACCACCTATAATGTAGCAAGAGTGGATGCTAAGGCAGTTCACATTATTAATGGTTTAAGGCACAATGTAAGCATTATTCTGTAAGCATCATATGAAATCATGATACAGCAGCATCCTGGCTTGTATCAGGAATAGTGTGGCCAGCAGCAGTAGGGAGGGGATTGTGCCACTGTACTCAGCACTGGTGAGGCTGCACCTGGAGTACCATGTTCAGTTTTGAGCCGCTTACTACAAGAAAGACATTGAGGGGCTGGAGTGTGTCCAGAGAAGGGCAATGGGGGCTGGTGAGGGGTCTAGAGAACAAATCTTATAAGGAGCGGCTGAGGGAACTGGGGCTGTTCAGTCTAGAGAAGAGGAGGCTGAGGGGGGCCCTTATTGCTCTCTACAACTACCTGGAAGGAGGCTGTAGTGAGGCAGGTGTTGTTCTCTTCTCCCAGGTAACTAGCGATAGGATGAGAGGAAATGGCCTCAAGTTGTGTCAGGGGAGGTTTAGACTGGAAAGTAGGAAAAAATTCTTTACTGAAAGAGTGGTCAGGCACTGGAACAGGCTGCCCAGGGAGGTGGCTGAGTCCCCATCCCTGGAGATGTTAAAAAAACGTGTAGATGTGGCATTTCGGGATATGGCTTAGTAGGCAGGGTAGTGTTGGGTTGACGGTTGGACTTGATCTTGGAGGTCTTTTCCAACCTATGATTCTATGATACATCATGATATAAGCATTGCCTGAAATTATGCTGCAATCAAATTCCAAAGGGATTCACACCTTCTCCCTGAAGGACTAAATGATGATAGACTAAAACTTATGCAGGAGTATCAATCTAGATATGAAAACAGGTATCCCAGACAACGTTAAGCAATTCATAGAAACCGGAAGATGTACTCAACCTTTCTAACCATTATACGCAGATAATGGGAGAAAGGCTAGTAGTTTAAATGGAAATATTCATGATGCAGACTACAAAAGAAAAGGCTCTTGGCCTTATTAGCGCATATGGGGAGAAAAGACTTTAGTTTTTCCTTCTGAATTTGGAAAGAAAGATTGGGCAAGGATAAATAGCATCATAGTTTAAACAGAATAGCTTAAAAATGCTATGTATGTAACAGGCTATATATCTACTAAAATATTTCTGACTGTGTGATAAAGGAGGATCTATGAAATTCGTGTCCAGAGTAGTTATCATGGATCCATGTGTATCTGCTGATGTTTCAATATGCATCTGTATGGAGTTCTACTTCTTTTGGAGACACAGGAAGAATTATGATGTAAAACACGTTCTCTTTTTTATTTCCCTAAACAAGGGAATTTTTTCATGTTTGTGTATTCTTGAATGACTCATTCTGCTGCTGCTTCTCCATCCGCCAGCACAGTCTTTATCTTACATTCCTGTGTAGTTGCTTTAACATTTTAGGGGGATGGCTTTTGCTCACAAGTTCATGAAGACGGGACAAATGGACTTCATTTTCCTTTTGTTTGTTATTTGGGCAGTACAAAGTCTAAAAGTCACGATGATTGATTGGTTCCAGTCCAGGACTTCAAGGACATAGCTGGACTTTTCTCATAACAGCTACCTAAGTCTGGTACAATATTCAGTGTTCTTTATATCTAGCATTATTCATGTATTGAATCAAGCCACAAATCAAATACATTGATTTTTTAACATTGCTGTTGGCTGAACGAATTAAATCTGCAAGCAGCACTAGGTGTGTGTTAGGTGACTGTCATGCACAATTAGTTCATTTATGTAAATCTTTTCAGAAATATTGATTGTTTTCATGGTTGGCTTCACATAATTACAAACCATCAGTAAAGTAGAAGAGAAAAATAGCTTAACAATCTGAAAATAAGATATGCACAGATTCACCTTTTTCAGTTAGAAAAATTGCTTATCACTAGATCATTTAAAAATATATGAAACAATTTTCAGACACATACTTTTCACCTACCCTATCCAATAAAGACAGTATCTCAAGTTAGAAGATAAATAAGAATTTACAGAAAAGAAATCTGTACCTTTACAGATTTTATTCTGCCAATGACTTTTGAGTTGCTTTAAAATCATGAGTTTGGAAAGTTATCTAGCTTTAGGACTAGTTACTGTTTCAACCTCTTGCATGCAAAAAACCAAAACAAACACCACAAAAAAAAAAAGCCCCAAACCCAACAACAACAACAAAAAACCCCACTCCAATATTTATATTATAAATGGGTAATTTCCCTGGTAAAATTCATAGCATTCTGTAGATTGAAAGCTGGAATAACTTGTGCTATCACTAGTATTACTAAATGTACTGAAATAAAAGCTATGGGAAAAACAGTAACAAATTTTGCAAGCAAGCTGTGCTTAAAACTGATATTTATTGAAACAGACAATATCTAAAGCTTATTAAACGTCTACTGTAGGTTAAACAATAGAATAGTTTGAACCATGCAACTGTTTCTTACTACCATGTATGGAAAGTAAGCAATAAGCTATTTCTCTTAAGTCTTTGTTACTTTAGAAAGATTACAGAAAGTAACTTTTTCCCCATGTTACACTTTACTATTTTATGGAACTGAATATAAAATCTACTTGTTACCTATAACCTGAACTTTTTTGCAACATGATGACCAGGATTCCTTTCAGGACTGGCTACAGACATGTTCTGTCAAAAAAAGTTATTTCTTTGACAGCAAATCTGTACTATTTATTCTTCTAGCAGAACTTTTTAAAACCCGTTAGCATAAGCATCGGTCTGATTTCCTGAAGTGGCAGACATGTTTTATTCATTTCTCCCCATGTATCTCAGATCTGCTCTGCAGTTCTAAACTTAGTCTACTTTTGCGCTGAAGATGCCACTTACCTTCAGGTTCTGCAATGTGGACAATGTCATCCTTTGTAAATATATGAGGCAACAAAACTCCATTAAATTCAGAGAGAAAGCACTTAGAAGAAATCTCACAAAAAGCTTTCAATAAACATCTAATTTACAATGAGAATAAAGACTATCTCTAACCGAGGCTATGAAATCCAAACAGAAATCCAGATTGCATTTACAGCTCTGCTTTTAATACAGCCTTCTTAAATAAATTTTAATTTAACTGCTTATCCATGGTTGTGCAACACAACTGGGCTTTGCCAAGGGAGCATGTCTGGCATTTAGAGCCACAGGTGGCTGAGGAGGAGGTGGCAGCTTAGGTGTAGCTGGAGCGGGTGCAGTACCACATCAGAAATTGAGGGTAGGGCTGTGGATAGGAAGAAGATCCAGACTCTGCAGGGTCACACGTGTTTTTGTGTCTTCTGAACACCCAGCGTGGACTTGAGAAGAGCCTGTTGTGTGTCTGGCAAGGAACTGGAAGATGGGCGCTGCTGGCACAGCACGCTTTGGTCCCACTGTTGTCTTTTTTTAAGTTATCTTTTTTTAAGTAAGTCTGTGCTCATTTGTTGAACCCTCTGTGAGAAGGACATAGCCTGGGACTATATTATTACTGAATTAAAATGAAAAATAAACCTTTTAAGGATGGAAGAAAGCCCTTCTTCAGGAACCATGCTTATAACTGCAGTAAAGCAAGTATTTAATTTACCTGCTAGTATGTGAAGGAAACGGGAACAATCTTTTTTGTGTGTTCCTGCTGCGTAATGCATAGCTGGTGTTTTTCCTAAAGTACCTGAAGTACCCTAATACTAGGAGAATAGGCACTTTAGAATCTACTTACGATCCACAAATGAAGTGAACAGCATTCTGAATCTGCTTAGTCTACTGCCTTCATCTGCCCACATTCGTACCACACCTGTCCCTGTCTGCAGTGTGACATCGTTTGCTACGGTGCTGCAAAACTTCGCCTTCAGGTTTTCAATAGAACTACTTCCATCATACACAGCAACAAAGTTTCTTTTGCATTCATTGGAATGCTCCATCTGATAGTCGAGAAATCGCAAATAAATCTGTTTTTAAAAAAAAAAAAAAAAAAAATGAATGTCTCAAGGAAAAGTAATACAGAGAAGACAGTTTTCTTTCCTAGCAAATCTTAAAAAAGATGTTTTGTCCCCTTACACATATAAGTAATTCTTCATTCACAACACTTTTAAACTTACGTTTTCTCATTAAATGTCAGTGTGGATTATTACTTCAAATTTGTCTTAACTATCTGTTTCACTTCTCCCCTGTTCCCCCAAACAATATTTATTTAATATTTACTCCGATATATTTCCAATCCCCTTGGGGAAAAAAGTAAAAAAGCAATACACTTGCTGAAGAAAGCCCTAAGCAGCTCTGCAAAATGTGAATTTGCTCTAGAAGAGATATAAGGAACACATAAATGTGCTGAAAGAATTTTAATGGTATTTTGACTGTTTTCTTTCTAATTCATATAAACAGTGTTAAAATATAAGGGAAGGAGTCTAGTCAGAAAAGGTCTGAAGTAAAATAAGGAAATAAAAATTTGTCGCTTCAGAATTAAAGCTAATTACTGAACCAGAACAGTGCTGCAGAAGACATAAACCATGAAGTCATGAGTAATTTGAATAGAAATGGAAGCAGGAGAAAAGTAAGCTGGCTATCTAGGAAGAGTTAATAAGTTTAAGCCAATCTTAATTCCTCCAAAAGCTGCAATCTAATCCAAGAGAAGGCAGCATATGTGGTAGAACATATGCAGCAAGAAAATTAGAAGACCAAGATGGCACTTGAAGAGTAAGCAGGTAATTTATTTTGCTGGAGCAGGAAACATGCAAGATTAATTCAGTTAGAATTACATGAAAAGATCGTAGGCCTTTTTAATCTTTTGAATGGTTTGGTTCAATTGGAATTCTCAGAATTCTAGTGCAAGTTGATGAAATGTGTGACCAAGTCACCGAAGCATGCTGCCAAGTCCATCTTTAAACTTCAAAAATTCCTCAGATAGCCATTACTTTGACAGAGAAGTCTATCCATGCGGAGGCTGAGGTCTCCAGCTCTGTGGGAGAAGAAGTGCTCCTTCTCTATCCCTGGGGTCTTCAGTATGTTCCTCAGAGAAGCTTGGGTCTAGACTGTATGCATTTGGAGTACAGTTTGCAATTACCTCTCTGGCTAAGGATGCTAAAGACCTTTTGCACAGTGCAGTTTTCCACGCGTCTGCCCAATGCCAAGAGCTGCAAGCTCTGGTTTAGTTTGTGAAGCATGGAAGACAGGGTAGATGATTACCATGCTTACTACTGCTATATTACCTATGTTTCTGACCTTTTGCCGTATCTCGCTTTTAGCCTCCACTAGTGCCAAAGCCTTTTAAAATTGAGTTTTAAAGAGTTCACTAAAGATATCTCCCACATACATTTAACAGGCTCTACTGAAAACAAGGTAAAAGAGCACAGTAAAAGACAGGTGGCACTGGTACATCCTGGCTCCTCCTTTCCAGTGTTTTCCAGAGGCACGTTGCCAGCACTGTCTCCCCTTGCACACTCTGTAAAAAGGTGCAGCCTGTGCTGTATTATCTCACACTGCATCTCACTGTATTGTGATTTTCAGTAGGGTTTGGGGGTGATTTGTTTGTTAGGGTTTTTTTTGCTGCTGTCTTTGTTAGATTTACTGGTGGAAATTGTCAATACACTGAGAACCTGTCTTCCATTGATGTCTTATCTCACGAACATGGGTGTGAGCCCTAAGTGCTAGTATTTCGGCTGAGAAGATGGTATTTTCATTTAATGATTGACCTTACGTATCTGTTGTGAAATTACAATGGAAGCTAAAAATAAATTAGTATGCTTTTAGTAGAGCTATTCTGTGTATGAAAACAAAGGAGTAATTCCATTAAAAGCTCAGCTCTGCAAAAGCTCCTTCTGGTTAGTGTGTTAGGCAAGTAAATATAAAAGGTCCTCATTCTTACGTTATATTGATTATTCCAATAATCTGAAATCTGGAGGTAATTGTATTAAATGTTATGCAGATTTAAAAAATCCTTTTGTTGCTGCAGTTGTGTTGGTTTTAAAATTTTATTTTTATTGCAGAATCAAATTTGAGGAAATTAAAAATGTCTGTGCTTTTTTTTCTCAAGAGACTGCACCATATCAGATCTAATGGTTTTTATCATCATAATTCTGCCAGAATTTAAGCCTGAAAAACCACTGTCAGAATACTAGGAATTATTTTTCTGTATTGTTTTAACTCAGTAATTTAGGATGATGATCTAATCTCAGGACTGATCCAACTATAACTCTGCCTTCTGGCAACATTCAATAATTTATTGAAATACTCATGCATAAGACCTGGTGCACTCAAGTGGCAATGTAGAGAGAAAATGGTTTTATTATTGTTTCTGGAAGAACTGCTACTATTACTTAGACTAATATAGAGCTCTTGGGAGTTCAGTCGCTTCCTCAAAGGCTCAAATCTATTAATGGAGTTTTAGTTTCTTTCTTGTCTTGTCCTCTTATTACCATATTTTAGATTGCTGTTTTAGAACTAATTTGGAAGTTGATGAATAGGGCTGGTTGGTTAAATATCAGGAGTGTGTAAGAAGGCATAGAGTAGGTTTGTCATCTTGGCAGCTACTGCTTAAAAATATTTTTTTAATTTTTATGCACATACAAGCAGTGGTATGTGCTTTAATACACAAACAGAAGCAAAATTACAGATGTGTATGTTATATGGAAAAAAAAGTATGTATTCTTTAGTGCAACTCACAAGTAATTAACAAGTATATGATTCTCAAACATACGGCTGTTGTGGGTTTTTTAAACAGGCTACAGCTATTGTGTTTTGGAATTATGAATAGGATTTTATGCTTCTCTCTGCCCAAAAATAAAGGTCAAGTTGGTTTTAATGAGCATAAGATAGCAATGTTTTTGGAAGCAGTCACTAGTTCTGCAGGCACAATCATAAATATCAGGTACCTAGGTAACTAATGCTGATTTTTGGCTCAAGCAGCTAATATGCCCCTTTAGGGCTTGGGCAGAAAAGCTCTAGCAAATTTTATTGTGGCACTTCAAGAGGGTGTGATCCTATAGCTAAGTCAGAAAAGAAAGAGTGATAATTCCTCAGTTGTTCATTTTAGCTTAGACCACTGATGAGAGTGGGTTTTGAGGTGCTGGACTCTGAATTAGACTGGGGAGGAGCAAGTACGTGTTCTGTTGACTTTGAAGAGAACCAAATTCTCCAGTAGAAGCAATGGAGGCAAAATTTTAAACCATGACAGCAAGACCTACTGGAATTTATCAAAGGTGTTAGCCAGCATTTTTGCCTGTGGTCTTAAAATAAAACCACAGTGTAAGTCAAATGCCCTCAAAAATTGTTGCTTAAACAGTTTTCACGGTTATTTTGTATTTGAAATTTCAAATAATGGAAAGACACCACTGTGGACTTGCTGTATATGTTTAATTTCAGAAACAATCCTCTATCTGGATTTCCTAAGCCACTGATACATAATTCATTTTAGTGAAAGACATTATGCAAATCACACCTAGTGACTATTAGCTGTTCCTAATGACTTGGAAGCCCATTATATGCCGAATGTTACGAATGAAACCCACCTTAGCATTTGGAGTAGCCTTAATTGTCCATATGCAGTCAACTGCTTGTCCCGGTTTTGTTTTTCCTTCCTGTTCTACTTGACTGGAACGTACTATTCCATCAGCTCCTGAGAGCTCAAATTGGCAGTCTAGGGAGAACATACACCTTGCTGTCAAATGCAGTATGGTATTAATTTAAAACTTCATGTATAAAGAAATTGTTACTGTAATACTAGACCTGGGATGGGATTTAAAATACCTCCTAGGTAAGTGAAGTCAGGATCTGTAATAGAAAGAAGTCATGAATCACAGGGGCTATCAATACTCAAGAATCATTTCAAGGTTTAGTATACTCTGAAGATTATGTCCATTTTTATTATGTCACAATAAAAATTGCCAGAAAGTTTACTGAATCAGTTGGAAGGTACAGAGACAAATTTTTTTTAAGATGATACTAATTCACAAAGATTGACCTTATCTGAATAAGGTAATTCTATACTGACAGCTCAGATTTCCAGCATAACACCAAAAACTACAATTTGGTATTTTGCTCCTAGATTACATTCTGAGTTTAACTATGCCAGTTTTCACTGAAATCACTGGAGCTCCACGAGTGCAGGGGTTCTTTTTGTGCGCATTTTTATCAGATTGCTGTCTGCCTAGTTCTGAACAATTCAAACTGGAGTAGTTTAGTAGAATATATTAACACTCTGAAATTGCTAATTGCTAGTAAGAAAGAATATAAAGAAGGACAGTTCAATACTAAAGGTAATTTTTCCTTGAGTACCCATGCCTCTTCTGTTAGCGCAGGTAGCACAGTTTGAGACGTCATTTATGAAGGCAGAATTTCACCTTGGTTGCTCCTCTATCTTCTCTCTTCTAAATGCTGTGTGTACGTAGTGTAGGTATCTGTAGTATATACTGTAGTAGTATACAATATGCATACTACTAATGAAGTAAGAATATACTTTTTCATAACAGTTAACTGATGGTACTTGACTTTACTGGGACTAGGGCTTGGCTAAAAATTAGTCTGTAATGGCCTGGGATGTCCCAGGCTTACATTTCAGTGATCAGGTCAGTGTTTCCTCACAAATCACCACAGACGCTCACAAGATGCACCCATTCGCAGCTGTGGCATAGAAAATCACCACAGAAATCACGCAAATCATAGCATGTGTATGTGGGTGAAATGTAAGCCTATGCAAAGAAAGCACTAGTTCATGCAAATTGCATGCCTGCTTTGTACAAAATTGTTTTCGAAATGAAGATCCAGATTTTGGCTCTTTCTGTGGTCCCCTAAATGTTTTTCCGTATAAAGAGTTTATTACTTCCCCTAAAATGCCTCAGTCCGGAGCTTGACTCAGTACAGTTGAGAAAATGCCTTCTTTGCCCTCCTCTGTTTTAGTTACCTCTAGTGAAATCTGTGATCACTGTATGTAAAATTCTGAAAGAGATTTTCAACCTTCTTTGTGAACTGATTTTTTTTTTTATGAAGTGGGGGTGTATATGTATGTCCCCTTCCATTTTCATAATCCCAGAATATTTTACCACACTCCATGTAAATATAGAGGAAAAAAAAAGGAATGGAAAATATCAGTCCTTCAGTTGCTGCAATCTATTGTGAAAATAATATACAGTTTAAATGTATATTTAAAGTTCCAGCCTGGAGCTAGGCTCAGTTAGTTTTGAAAGTGATGTTAATGCAATGGCTTTGGAAATGGACTTAGCAAAATGCGTAAGTACTGTCCATACTAAAATATTTTAGCACATTATTCCCAGTGGACTGGTCACCATGTTAATCTGAAGAGTTTCCAAGTCTAAATCCCTAGCAAGGTCTACAGTTCTCTAAGCAGTAATACATAATCACGTATAGTGTTTACATGTGGTGTACGGGTAAAGACGACATTAAAAAGTTATGCCTGTGTATACATTTATAGTAGTAGTAAAGCTGACATTTGTATATTGTCTTTTGTCCCAAAGGACAATAAAATGCGGATAACTACAGGTACAGCATCTATGAAGTACAGCAGTCAAGCACTGCACAAGGACATCAGGTCAAATTTTCTTGTAAAAAGAATGCTCTGCCAGTTTTAAGTGGCCCCACAGAGCAGATGTACTTTTTGTTTGTCTAAAGGCACTGTCAGCACATTATCCTCTCCTTCATACCCTGTAAACGACACTGTACTTTGAGCAAAGAACAATTCTGTTGTCTGAGCCTGTGGTTTGAGGGAATCTAGTTCTACTGAGAGCTCATGCTTGCACTGTGTAGGCGGTATTTCCTCTGGCTTTTCCGAATGGAGATTTAAAATGTTCTGCATCTGGCTGGAAGTGCTACTGTAGATTTGCTTCAGGTGTTTTTGTCATAGCATCTTTCCATTAGTACCACTGGTGAAACTGGTATAAGTTACGAGTAACAAAGAGGGAAGTTGTTAAAGCCTTCAGCATGAACAAGATCAACGGACTTCTTCACTAGGAAACTACAGACCTGTAATTTCCTTCAGTCAATTTTCCAATGTGGTTTTAGTCAAGTATTCTGTAGGATTAGCAGGACTTAGACTGTATCTATCGCATTGTCATTTTGCCTCCATAAGCACCTTTGGTGAAATACCACTCTAGACTGCCAGCATAAACACATCCACAGAGTTTAATGGGAGCAGATCATTGTTAACGCGGTCAAAATTTTAGGCTTCTTTACCTGGTATAAATGAGTACTTTGCTTGAAATCCCTTTCCTTCCAGCTCCTCATCAGAAGTAAACTTGATCCACATAAATCTCCCTGTTGATCTAATTAGTGTAGGACTTTTCAGACCACAGTAACGATTAATGAGAGGGGAGAAACCAAAAGGTCCATCTCGAACCTCCAGATGATCAAACCGACATTCAAATGAGGGTTCTATGTAATACGGTTCATCAAAGGTCAACTCAATTCTTTGTCGTGGAGCAGCTAGACATAAAAAATTGAGCAAAAGATTAAATTAAGATCTATATAAAAAAACCACATGAAGACATAAAATAATGAAGAGATAGGCTTCCAAAACAGCGAAATAAAAGAGTTTGGAAACTTCTCCAAATACATCTGGCAGTCTGCTACAAAAACTCCAATACACTGTAATAGGAATAAAAAAAAAAATATATATGGAGTAAAAGATACTGTTTAATGGAATTTTACGGAATTTTTTTGCTTGCTGATCTTTATTGTTGAGCATTCAGAAATGACATAAATTTAACACAGCACATATTACAGATATTACCATGCTAAATGCTGAAGATAGTCTTCAGCCATCTTTTGCAGTTTATTATTAGCAACATTGGAAGTGATATTAAGATAACAAGCTCCAATTTTTATCTTAATAGTTCCGTGCTTTCGTAGATTACAGTAGATCTGATGCTGGCTTTTCTGGCTGTAAGGGTATGTCTTATTCCATATAGCCAATTCCTGATTGTTTGCATTTTCTGTTAATGTTATTACTTCAGAGAGAAAATTTAGCTGCTTCTTCAACCAAATGACTGCAGAATTTATTATATTACATTATGACTATATTACATTATATTACAGTATGACTATACAATACTTGACAGTATAGCAAAATGACACAATTTTCATAGTCCAAGATTATCTAATTAACAGTAAGATTAGAACATAACAAAACAGAAATACAGCACATACCTTCTAAGATATAGATGCACTCTTGATTTGGTGGGTACATGTTAGGGTAGTTTGGTGAAGCAAAATGTCCTCCATTACTTGTCCGTACCCAGTTGTCACACTGGGTAGGAGGAATGCGATTTACTCCAATATTTTGTCCACCTTAAGCAAGAAAAAAAAAAAGTGATCAAATAAATTTCTCCTGCAAGCATGCAAATTTGATTTTGTAAGAGTAAAACACTGACATAACACACACCATACAAAAGGGGAAAGTAATTTATTTTGGTTGAAAACCCTCTTCTATGCCACTTGTTAATATCAAGCTAGGACAATCTTACGTTTAATTTAGTGATGTGGTGTATCCTAAAGACATCACAGTTTTTTTAATATCAAGTATGTCCAGTAATCCCTGGGAAGGGAACAGAGGGAGTAATTTTTTTTCCAAATCAGTTTAGATTTTTTGATACTCTTCTTTCTAAGCCAAATAGTCACAGTGGCTGTCAATACAGCAGCATTATTTTATGGCTTCTGTCTTCTCCATTCCTATGCAAATATCTTCCCAAATATTTGTTAGCTTTTACTATTTTTGGCCCTCATTACAGAGTATACTGAAGTACATGGCCCTTTGTTTGAATATCTACTTACAATAATTTGCTGGAATACAGAATGCTTGTAATGCAATGAATTATAATATGTAAATAAAATAAATACAGCAATGGTAGTTTGTAAAATTACTAGCAACAGGTAGATTGCACTGGTAGCAAAGAGTCTCATTTAAGATCAAAGCTCCTCTTCTGGGTGTACAAGGAAATACGATCTTTGAGAGTATGCAGTTTACTAAGCTAGTGCACCACGCTGGACCATTCACAGCAGCTTTGTTAGTTTGGATTTCCTTATCCAAGGAGAAGGGAGTTGGGAATAGTATGATCTCCCTGACATTCTTCTTAAGTACCTTTGAGCCTTCTCCTTGATATCAGCAGAACTGGAGAGTATAATTATGTGGTTTCTGCTAGATTTTTCCTAAATCTGAGAGTGCTCTCAAAATGCTATTTATATTTATGCAGTTTTTCTTTGCAGACCTTTGAGAGGGAGTCCATGCTGATACAGGTCTTAGCTGCCTCCAGTAAATTACATCACCTTCCACGGGTATCTTGGCAGGTTTTTGATTTATGGGGGTGAAAACTTAGTCTCTCCTGCAGAATTTGTTCAAGTAAATTCTGTAGGTGTCAGTTCAAGGAATTCTTCTCCCCTATGTGTGGGTTAATCCCACATATGAGAAAATAAGGTTTGTGAAACCGATGCCTTCCCCACTCAGCAGGCTTCAAAAATGTTTTCGGGTGGACTATTTGAAAAGCTTGTTGTTAGATACAGAAAACATACATTTCTATAGTGTTTTTTTCCCCACCTCTAAGGTCTAAACCAGTAGAATTTTAACTGGGTAAGTGAACTTCCATGTTATTTGTGACTGGATGTCTTTATTCAGTTCACTGCAAAAAAATGCAGTAAATACGGGGAAAATGGAAAACACTAGAATTCATATTGGTAATTCAAGAGCTATTAATACCTGAACACAAATACTTTCACTTATATTGTTTAAAAATTACGAAACTGTTACATTTTTTTAACGAAAATCATCAAAACAAAATTGTACCTTGGGTCTTCTGTGCAACAGCAATCCCTTCCACTACAAGGATTGTTACTAGCAACACTGATGAGAGAAATGGGACAGGAAAAACATCAAAAATTCATCAAAATTACAGACCATTTTGTGCAGTCCTGATTCATGCAAATCCTAGAATCACTAACCAAAACAATGCAGAACATACACGCTTTCTTAAAATTTCAACTTTAGAAAACCAGTGCAGTCTAAGTGCACTGTCCGTTCTTCTAGGTTCCTTAAGAAAGTGTATATGAGAATAGCAATTTATTGTCTGAGGGGACTTTAAGAATATTTTCTAGAGTATCTACTAATTTGCAAGCATTTTATAAAATTAAATCATATGTATCTTCTATATAACTTTTATATCCTGAAACGAGATGTTTCACTGCTATATTGAACCATATTTATCCTAAAACTCCATATGCATAACAGGTACAAAAGACTTCTCCAGCTTCCAAGAAATTAATCAGGACCACA